AACAAACAGATTTCATCCTGGAGAGGGTTAAACCGGGCTGCTCCTTGGAGGCAAGGACTCTGGGGCTTCGTCTGACATACTTTGGTCATGTTGTAAGGAGAGACCGGTCCTTGGAGAGGGACATCATGCTTGGGAGGGTGCAGGGCAGGCACAGGAGGGGAAGGCCTTCTGGGAGATGGATTGATTCGGTGACTGGGGCAATTGGGATGAGTGTGTAGGAGGCAATGAGATTGGCACAGGACAGAGCAGAGTTTAGAGCTGTTGTACATAGAGTCCCTATGAGTCAGAAGTGACTTGACAGCACATAACAACAACATCTTGCATTTAAAGTGAGTATCCTTTTTCTGTGGCATAGCAGATAATAAATTGAGTGTTTTGGATTTTCGTTGGGTCATTTATATGCATTTTGTTTTACAACATTGTAATCACAATTTCATTCGATAATAACAAGCAGCAAGTTTAATAAGCTTAAGAATTTACCTTGCTGTGAGTTTTAGTTGGGAAGAGTTAGAATTGTAGATTTAGGTATAACAAGCTTGTGAATTAGTGTTGAATTGTTTCTACAAGTGTCTAACAAATATCTTTAAGAGAAAATCAAGTAATTAATTACGAGCCCAGTGTGTTCTCTGCTCTCAATCACACTTTCAAAAACCTGGCTAAAATTAGACTTGGGGCCTGGTAGTTGTCTTACAAACCACAAGACCACAGTTCGTTCCTTTCAAAGTGAGAATAGCACCAGCTTACAAGCTTCTAGATACTTAATTCTACTAACTTGTAAAGTTCCACATTGGTACCTTCTCACATTGTAAAGGAAGAGACACATTAACTCATTACATTCAATGCAGTATACATTATTTATCCCCTCTTTTCTTAGTTTCCCCCCAAACCAGTGGCATTATGCAGTAAGCAGTAAGCCCTAATCCACAACATGACCAGTCTTCCAACTATCCTAAAAGACCTACAACCAGGAGAAGATAAATGAATGGGACCTTCTAAGACTCAAATCCCTATGTATATCCAAAACTTCTCCAAGAAGGTAAAAAGGAAAGCCATGTGATCAAAACCAAATGGTAGTTAAGGAAGAAGTTCAAGCCGCACTGAACCTATTGGCAAAAAATAAGGCCTCAGAAATCAATAGGATACCAATCAACATATTTTAACTAACTTTTGCAACCCTGGATGTGCTTACAGTCTGTAGCAGGAACTTTGGAGGACAGATGCCTGGTCAACTGACTGGAAGAGATCCATGTTTGTTCTCATTCCCAAGAAAGGTGATTCAACAGAATGTAGAAAATTATTGAACAATATCATTGAAATCTGTGAGCAAAGCATTACTAAAGATCATTAAAAAGAGCTAGAATATATTGAGAGATAACTTCCAGAAGTTATAGCTGCATTGGATCGTAACAAATTATGGCTAACATTAGCAAGAATGGGAATCCCAGAACACTTAATTTTGCTCATGGGAAACCTAGACCAAGACCCTGTTGTGCAAACAGAGCAAAGGAACATTACATACTTTAAAATTAAGAAACGTGTGTATGAGGGTTGTGTCCTTTCTCCATACCTATTTAATCTGTAAGCTGAACAAACCATTCCATAAACTAGACTCTATGAAGAATAATATGGCATCAGTATTGTAGGAAGACTCATCAGCAAGCTTCGTTATGCAAATAACACAACCCTGCTTGCTGAAAATGAAGGACTTTGAGCGCTTGCTACAGAAGATCAGAGACTATAGCCTTCAATATGCATCTCAATGTCAAGAAAACAAAGATTCTTACCGCGGGACCAACAGGCTAGCTACATCATGATGTTGGTGTTCTTAGATGGAGAAAAGATTGAAATTGTCAAAGACTTAATCTTATTTAGATCCACAATCAACACCCTTGATCAATATCACAATCAACAATCTTGATTGTACCAGGAGTCAGGAGATAAGGAGGCATATTGCCCTGAGAAAGTCTGTAATCTGCAACCTCTCCAAATCTTTGAGGAGCAATGATCAGTTTGAAGACTAAGTGCACCTGATTTAGCCCATGGCCTTTTCAATCAATTGCTATGCATCTGGGAGATGAATAATGATTCTAAAAAGAACAGATACCTTTGAGCTGTGGTGTGGAGAACACTGAATCTCCAATAAACTACAAAAAAAAAAATAAACAGATATGTCTTGGAGCCAGAATGCTCCTTGGAGGCAAAGATACTGAAACTCCATCTCACGTACTTTGGGCATGTTACTAGGAAAGGATATTTCTCTCTGTTCTTTGGTGAAAGACATCATACTTGGGAAAGTGGAGAGTTGAAAAAAATATAACACAAAACAGACCTTCAACTAGATGGATTGACACAGTGACTGAAGCAATGAGCTCACGTGTATCAGAAATGATAAGAATGACACAGAATAGGACAGGGTTCAGATCTGTTGTTCAGGGTCTATGTGAGTCAAACTTGACTCCACAGCACCTAACAACAACATTTGGGTTTTATACTATTAATTATGATATCAAGAAGTTATGATACCCCAACAAGGTATCCGTGGATAACTGCTGCCCTTGTAAGGCTGGTTATTCTAAGGGGTGAGTGCCTCCCAGCTATTACTGGTCACCTTCTAGACCTGTCCTAGTGTATTGGCTAAAAATTGAATCATGGGTTGAGTTTTGTTCCAGGTTTGAAAAGTGACTATGGGATTTGAAGTTCCACTAGTCTCTATTGGACCAGTGACCTGGACTTTGTTTTTAAATGTTTTTGAGTTTTGTTCCACAAAACTGTTCTAGCTAGGAATCTCTGATGGTCTGGCAGGTAAGGAGTTGCACTGCCAATCCAAAGTTGAATCCACCAACTGCTCCAAGAGAAAAAGATGGGCAGTCTCCTCCCCGGTGATTCAAAGCTTGACAACCCGCTGGATAATCAGCTGTGAATTGGTTCTGACTGATAGTACACAACAACTATCCAGGATCTTCTACTGGGATCTCCTGTAGGGTGATCATCAGTAAAAAGATCTATTTTTCCTTTCTGTCTTGGCTGTTATAAAAGAGATTAGTCACAATTTCTCACAGCAGGCTTTGTAATTACAAACTAGTTTTAAGTTTATACATCAGAAGTTCTGTTTTCACCCTCCATGGAAGCATTTGCTCAACAATGAAACAAATCTTCCACTTGCCAAACTCTAAAGTTATTGCTGCTGCTGTTGTTAGGTGCCATCGAGTTACTTGCGACTCATACCGACCCTACAAGAGCCCTAAACCCTGCTCTATCCTGTGCCAGCCTCACTGTCTCTGACACACCTACTTCCATTACTCTAATCACTGAATTTATCTGTCTCATCAAAGGCCTTCCTCTCCTGCATTGTCCCTCCACTCTCCCAACTATGATGTCCCTCTCCAAGGACTGGTCCCTCCTTACAACATGCCCAAAGTATGTCAGATGAAGCTTCAGAATCCTTGACTCCAAGGAGCATTCTGGCTTCACCCTCTCCAGGACAAACCTGTTTGTTCTCCTAGCAGTCCATGGTATAGTCAACACTCTTCCACAGCACCACAGCTAAAGGCATCAATTCTCTTTCTATCATCCCTAGTCATTGTCCAACTCTCTGACACAAAGCACGCAATTGCGAAGACTATGGCCTGGATCAGGCACACCTTAGTCTCCAACCTGACGTCATTGTTCTTCAGTACTCTGGAGAGGTCCCTGACAGCTAACTTTCCCAATACAATTAATCTTTTCATTTCCTGGCTGCTGGTACCAAGAATATTGATTGTGGAGCCAAGCAAACTGAAACTGTTAACTATCTCAATCTCTTCACTATCCATTATGATATTGCCAGATGGCCCAGTGGTGAGAATCTTTGTTTTCTTTATGTTGAGCTTCAATCCATATTGAAGGCTGAAGTCCTTGACCTTCTGCAGCAAGTGCTTCAGGTCCTCCTCAGTTTCAGCAAGCAGGGTTGTGTAATTTGCATAACACAGGTTGTTGATGAATCTTCTTCCAATCCTGATGCCACATTCCACCTCATATAGCCCAGCCTCCCGGATGATCTGCTCTGCATATAGATTGGGAAAGTATGGAGACAGAATAAATCCCTGGAGGACACCCTTCCCGATTTTAAACAATGCAGTGTCTCCTTGCTCTGTTCTGACCACAGCCTCCTGATTCAAGTACAGGTTTCGCATTAGCACAATCAAATGTTCTGGGATTCCCATTCTTCTCAGAGTCGGCTATAGCCTGTTGTGATCCACACAGTCAAAAGCCTTTGCTTAGTCAATGAAGCACTGATAAACATTTTTCAGATACTCTGTTTTCGGTCAAGATCCATCTAACATTAGCTGCAATATCCCTAGTACCATGGCCTCTTCTAAACCCAACCTGCATTTCAGGCAGTTCTCTGTTGACATGTTGCTCCAGTAGTTTTTGGATCATTTTCAGCAAATTCTTGCTTGCATGTGATATTAATGATATTGTTCGATAATTTCTGCACTCTATTGGGTCACCTTTCTTTGGAATGGGAACAAATATCGATTTCTTCCAGTCAGTTGGCCAGGTGGCTGTCCTCCAGATTTCTTGGCACAACTTAGTGAGCACATCCTGGGCAGTGTCTGTTTGTTGAAATATGTCAGTTGGTACGCCATCAACTCCTTGTTTTTTGCCAATTCTTTCAGAGTAACTTGAACTTCCTCTTTCATCACCATAGGCTCTTGCTCATATGTTGTTTCATGAAATATACTGTGTCAGCCAGTTCCTTTGTACCATCAGTTCAGAACTGACCAAGACCTGACCGTCCTGTGGGGTTTTAGAGGCAGAAAATCACATGAAAGGATATTGCCCATCTTTCTCTTGTGAAGCAGCTGGTAAATTTGAACCACATACTTTTGCATTGGCAGCACAATTCCTTACCATTAAACCACCAGTACAACAACAAGAAGCCACCAGAGCTCCCTAAACTCTAATAAAACATTTTTCTTTCTCCTTTCTTGGGAACTTTCTTGTTTTCTATTTGGAGTTGCTATTACATGGAACTCTTTCAAAAAAAGAACTATTAATGAGCTTTTACCTTTCCACATTGGGATACTAACTGGCATTGACAGCCTATGTGGCAACAATTTTGGGTAGAACAAGAAATCTAGATTCCATGCCTATCTCTCATTAGAATTCTTCCTTCTTTGTCTAGTGAGCCCTTGAAACCTCAAAATTACATGGAAACTATAAGCAGCGCCTTTTCACAATTCACTCATTATCCTTATATTTGGTTTGTTGAGGGTTTTTTCTTTTGTATCTACCAAGAGTTTTTCCTTTGTAGATGAAAAAACTGAAAAGAATAAGTAAAAAGGTCCTACCTTCATCCACAGATACTTGGGCCTATATTACTTACCAGCCTGTACATCTTGTCTGTCTCCTTGTCTACCACCAACAGTGAAGTCTTCTCTGCATTCTTCCTAATCATTTCTACCACACCATCATGATCCAGGCTTTCCACAGATTCACCATTGACAGCAACCACCAGATCATTGTTCTTCAGGCCAGCCTTATCTGCTGGGCTTCCAGCATCTATATCACTGATGATTTGACCTTCCCCCCAAAAAAAAATAAATAAGCATGAGAAAATCTGCAAAGCTGCTTTAAACAAATCTGTGTATAAACCCAAGGTCCTGCATAAAGCATGTGAATGCAACTACTACCCTCCCCTCCTACTGGCATCCCAGGAAGTCTATAAGCCCCCATTCTGCCTTGCTCCCTGCTCAGAACTCACTCCAGGAACAAACCTGGGCATTAACAAGTAAGTATATTAAGGAAAAGACGTTGTTGTTACTAAAAATGTGTGACATTCATCCTTAACAAAATAGCATGGTATGCATTAAGTGTCAGCAAGTGCCCAGGACAAGAGTGTGCTTACTTGTACCTACAATTATATAGAAGCTAAACTATAAACTTTGATAAATGACAATAGTTATAGAAAGGCTTCAGGCCTTTTGGTCATAGGGTCACTATGAGTAGTGCTCCACTCAATGGCAATCAACAACGCAAACTGTGAAAAAAGAGGGGCAGAAAAGAATGAGTAAAACCAAAGGCTTCAGACCCTAAGAAACTCATGCTGCCATTTCAGTAACAACTGGGTTCATTCAATTGTGATAATGTTTATGCACACCTCAAGACCTTGAGGGTCTTTATCTTTACTAGATGCCTCCAAGTCACTTGCACTTTTCCTGCTTCATTTTTCCAGTTCACTGCTGAACAGACCCCTCCAGATAGCCTATGTTGTTTTTCCTAGGTGCTGCCAAGTACAACTCATAGTGAGCCTATGTACAACAGATACGAACTCTGTCCTATCCTGTGCTGTCCTCACAATCTGACAAACTCAACCCTTTGCAGTAGTCACTGTGTCAATTCATCTCATTGAGGGTCTTCGTCTCTTTCACTAACTCGCCACCTTCTGCAGTATGATGTCCTTCAAGGAATATCCTTTCCTAGCAACATGCCCAAAATATATGAGATGAAGCTTTATCGCCTTTACCTCCATCCAAGAAGCACCCTGGCTGGATCTTCAAGACATAACTGTTTTAAAACAGTTAAACTAATAAAACAGGTATGAGGATTTAAGGTGGGGAGGGTAGGAGCAGAGGAGTGAGGAGGGCCAGGGGGTAATCATAGGGTCGCACAATTTGATGGGTAGAGGGAGGGGTGGGTAAGGGAAATGAGAAAGATCTGGTGTGGAAAACAATGTATACTAACTTTATAAGCAAATCAATATGTAATAAAAATGTATTTAAAAATAATTTTTTAAAGACATATCTGTTCTCTTAATAGTCCCTGAGATACTTCTGTACTGTTCTCCAACACCACAGCTCAAAGGCATCAATTTTTCTTCTGTCATCTTTATTCATTGTGTAGCTGTCAGATGCATAGTGAGGCTTGGAAAGACCATGTCAGGTGCACTTTAGTCCTCAAATAGACATCATTGCTCCTCCATAATTTGGAGACGTCTCTGACTATAAACTTTCCCAATAGAATATATCTCCTGATTTCCTGACAGCTGGTACCAAGGGTGTTGATTGTGGATCCAAATAAGATGAAGTTGTTGACAGTTTCTGTCTTTTCTCCATCTATCATGATGTTGCTATTAGTCCAGTGGTGAGAATCTTTGTTTTCTTGACCTTGAGATGTAATCCATATTGAAAGGTGTTTTTTTTTTATCTTCTACAGCAAGCACATCAAGCCCTCTTCACTTTGAATAAGCAAGGTTGTGTCATTTGCATAATCAAAGTTATTGATGAAACTTTCTCTGATCCTGATGCCACTTTCTTCATAGAGTCCAACTGCTTGAATAATTTGCTCAGCATACAGATTGAATAGGTATGGAAAGGGATACAACCCTGGCACACCTTTCTTAATTTTAAACCATGTAGTGTTCCTTTGTTCTGTTTATACAACAGCCTGCTTATCTAGGTATAAATTTTGCTGAGCATAATCAAGTGTTCTGGGATTCTCACTCCTCTCAGTGTTAGCAATAATGTGTTATAATCCACACATTCAAATGCCTTTGCATTGTTAATAAGCACAAATAGACATTCTTCTGGTATTCCCTGCTTTCAGCCAGGATCCATGTGACATCATCAGTGATATTCCTGGTACTATGGCCTCTTCTAAACCCTGCTTGAATGTCTGGCAGTTCTCCATCTATGTACTGCTCTAGATGTTTTTGAATGATCTTCGTCAGTATTTTGCTTACCTGAGATATTAATGATAGTTTTTTATATTTTCATGATCTTTTGCATTATCTTTCTTGGAAATGGGAACAAGCATTTCTCTTCCAGTTAGACAGGGAGTTGCCTTCCAAATTTTCTGATATAGACTTGTGAGCACATCAAGGGTGGCATTTATCATTTGAAACCTGTCAGTTGATATCCCATCATCCTGGGGCCTTATTTTTTTGCCAATGCCTTCAGTGTAGCTTGAACTTCTTCCTTCATTACCACTGGCTCTTGACCATAGGATAATTCCTGACATAATTTCAGTGTAAGCCAATTCCTTTTTGGTATAGTGATCCTGTGTATTTCATTCATCTTTTGATGCTTCCTTGGTCATTCAAGATTTTGCCCATCACATCTCTCAGTATTGTAACTATTGGCTTGAATTTGTTTCCGTTTTTTCAGTTTGAGAAATGCTGAGAAAGCTCTTCTTTTTTTTTTAATTTTCCAATTCCCGTTCTCTGCACATTCCATTAGAATACTTTGCTTTGTCTTTGAGATGTCCTTTGCAATTCCTTTCAGCTCTTTTATTTCAGCATCTCTTTCCTTGATGATAAAAATATCCTATAGCTCCTTCAAATGTATTAAAACTAAGTAACCCCTGCCTGCCTCTTTGCCCCAAAGCCCCTCTCTTTTCTCATCTGTTGGCTTTAGCATCATCCCCCTAATCACTGACACACGTGAGATTCTTCAATTCCTACACCCTATATCTAATCCTATGTTTAATTGATACACCCTTCACTGTTACCGTAATATTTAGATTTTTCTCCAACTGCTACTGCCCGCACACACACTTCCTCTACCCTAAATGCAACCCATATCATCTCCTGGCTAGAACTCTGCCTATATTAACTAAAACATGTTACCATTTATCTCTTCTAGTAAATGATAGATTTCTGGACTGATGAATTCTCAAAGCCCCTACGAATTTTTACCAGCTGTTCTCCTGATCCCTAATCCCTCGCCAGCACACACAGTTGTAATTTAAGATTCATCCTCTGTTGCACATGTCTAACCATTCTCAGTGCAAGAGAATGAACACAGCTTTGAAATCAAAGAGATCTGTACTTGATCCCACAACTAGTTCATCTTTCATAATTACTGTATCATCTTCAAACTTTCACTTTCAGCAAGTCTTTACAGAATTAAGCGAGATGTTTGAAACCTCCAAGACCCTATAATTTTTTTAAAAAATATATTAAGGTACACACCCATGTTTATTGCAGCTTTGTTCACAATAGCAAGGAGTTGGAAACAACCTAAGTGCCCATCATTAAACGAATCGATAGAGAAGCTGTGGTATATTCACACAATGGAATACTACGCTGCATTGAAAAACAAGGAACTCATGAAATATTATACAAAGTGGGTGACCCTGGAGGACATTATGCTGCATGAACTATCTCAGTCACAAAAAGACAAATATGGCATAAAGCCACTGTTATAAAAAAGGACTGACATGGGTACTGGGGGAAACTAAGAAAAGAGGGGATAAATACTTGGCACTGGAACAGACAAGGGAAAGAACTGTATAACAGGAATTTATAATTAGATAGTATTGACAAGAGTCAGATTAAGAGCTGCAGAGTAGTGGTCTGGGGTGTGGGTGTGGGTGGCTGTCTGTATAACAATGAAAGAACTTTTTTCCCAAAGAAGGTGATCTGGGGGCTTGGGGGGTAGGGAGGGAAATGTGCAACAGTGAAACCAAATTCTTTATAAATTTTCATTAAAATCTCAATTAAAAAAAGAAAAATGTAAGGGAAAATAAAACTAAACCATTAGCTCTTGTTTGACTACAAGTTAAGTCTAAACTCTTCAATCTAGCCTTAAAGATTCTCACTGTCTCCCACAAACCTACCTTTCTCAGCTACATATTAGACATCTAACTGTGTACCTCCTTTATTCACAAAGTTCTTCTCTTTCTGGAATGAATTTCCTTGATCCATCTACTATGTCGAAATTCCATGTATTTAAAAAAAAAAAAAAAAGCTTGAGCTCAAATGCCACTTCCACGGTTTACTCTCAACTCACTCCTTGCTATCAAGTTGGAACCAACTCACAAATGACCCTCCTGAAGGACATTGCTCATCTCTCTCCCTCAGAACAGCTGTTCCACTATTAGACATTTTAATCTTGGTGAGAAATGCTTCTTCTAAGCTTACATTCTCACAGCCCCTTTTTTGAAGTATTTACCACTATCTGCCTTGACTTATATGTACCTTATCTCCTCTACTAACTGCTTGATTCCTTTTGACTAAAGAAACTCGTACTTGAGAACGTTTTGTACATACTATGACATTAATATCTGATGTTTGTAAACATAAGGTAATGAAAAGAAAATGGCAAGTTCTGGGTAAATAACATTCTTTTATGACTTTTCCTTCTCTGAAAATAACCTTCATTATTTCCTAGGAAGTAGAAGACTCCAGCTTCCACTCCTGCAATCCAAACCTGCAGTTGTGCCGCAGACCCTGTGCGGCACTAAGCAGGCTTTACGGAAGCTCGAAAGGGCCAATTCTGTCTCTCTCCTCTTTGCTTTCGGGAATACCATGTTTCGCTGGTAGCTTGAAATTAGCCAAGGTGGAGTTACAGCGCAAAATTTCCAGAGAGCTGGTTGATTGGTGCATCACAGCCCAGATCCCAAATTCTGCCTTTAAGTATTTAAATGTCTATTTTTAACTTTATTTTTACTTCAAGTGAAACCTTACAGAGCAAATTCATTTTCCATCTGACAATTTACACACATTTCATCTTCTGACATTGGTCACATGTCTCTCAAGTAATGACACTTTTCCCACTTGTTCCCTGAGCTCCCTGTTTCTCTCCATCTTCTTTCCTGCCCCTTGTGCCATCTAAGCTTTGTTATTTGATAAATTCTACCTGTCTGGTCTCATATGTAATTGTACATGGAGTATATTCCTCCAGAGTTGTTATTAACTTTATAGGCTTGTCATCTTAGCATTTTTCCATAAAAACTTTTGTGTCACTCTTTAACAGGTCCTCATGTGACATATGAATTGGCCCAACGATGCTTTTCTCTTGCTTCATGCAGCTGATGGGGCGTCAGAGGGAGAATGGAACCCTAAGGTCAGAATGGGATGAGGATTTGGGCAGGCACACTGCTGAGTGTTCCGCTCTTCTCGTGTCTTACCTTTCTGTGAGGGCCCCTCTCTCAGGTAGAACCCATAGCCATCACTGCCCTTCTTTATCTCTACAACCCGGGGCTGGTGTGGGAGCAGTTTCAAACTAGTTGTTTCTCTCTTAAATGGTATTTTCTTCTCACTATAGAGTTTGTCAGTTTCCTTGTCTACCAGCAGGAACATAACATGGCTTCCTGATTTCTTTACCTGCAACAACACACACACACAAGTAAGGAACAAGAACCCAAAAGAAACAATGCTATGAAATAAGAAGTTTCTCCATAAAAGCACAGCATCTCCAGTCTCCATGAGTAACGTGCTGCATGAGGTCCTATGTCCTCACAACTAATACATCTACGTCCCCACCTATAGTTGTTCCCTTTGTTAAGGATGGCATCATGCATGCAGAGGCCAACTGAACCCATGTGAGAGTTGGATTTCAGAGCATTCAAGTATTTAGAATAGCAATTTGGAAAATAATGTAGTGCTTTTTAAAACCACTAAGAAGTCTGAAGTCATATTGAACCTAAAAATTGACCAGAAGAGAATATCAGTGTTTTCTGCATGTCATAGAACCTTGGTAGGACTTAACATTGGGGAAATAATAAGATTTCTAGCATTTCTTATGTGTAAGCTGCATATTTACCAACACAGTGGTTATCTTCAGTTTATGTTAATAAAACATCTTAAACTGACTCAACATTGAATTTATTATCACTTCAGAGGGTACAGCCAATCTGGTATAAATAAAATCTTTAAAAAAAGGTGAACTGGAGGAGCAGGAAGGGAGGATGAGGATGTAAAATGTGCAACAATGAATGAATGAAAATTTAAATTCTCTGTAATGTTTGTTAAAATCACAATTAAAATAAAACTTTAGGTTTTTTAAAAAAATAAAGCTAATGGTTCTTTAGACTACTTTTCTTGAATGTTCATGAGATTACTGAAGATCTTATTCCACACCCTATACTAACACTGTTTTTACCACTAGTGAGTATGTTCCTCCTTAATAAAATGGAGCAACCCAACAGGACATTCCTGCTGTCAAATTCATCCTGGCCCCTTCAGTCTCTGTCAGCTTCCTGATACTTCCAGTAAAGAGTGAAAGATGGGGTGGGAGGGAAGAGATTCCTCTGGGGTCTACCTTTTTAATTACTTCTTCATGACTGGCATTTTCTACATTTTCTCCATTGACTTCAATCAAATGATCATCAGCCAGGACACCAGATTTCATAGCCACACCTTGAGGTGTTATATCAGACAAGTATATTCCCTTTTTTCCTAGAAGAGGGTAGAAATTGAACAACGATTATAATCTTAATGCACAGAAACTAGAAGTCTAACAGTAAAGAATTTTCTGAGAAATTTGATATTAAAACCTCCACTTTGATGACTAATTCAAACAAATCTTGGCTCCTTATCTAGAAACACAAATATGTGTCCAGCTTTGTGCTAGGAACTGTATTGTTTAACTTGTATTTGTTTATTTAAGTCGAATTTCTCACCCCAAGTAAATGCAAGGAAGGTATCTGAGCTGGCACTGCCCTCTTGAATCAGCAAGCACCAGCTATGTCTCCATGTCACATTCCTTGTTATACCCTTAATTTCATATTTGTGAAATTAGAAAATATCCATTCTATTCTCTCTTCATCAATTAGTATAGCCATCATATACCAACAGAGTCAATCCATTTTCATGGGTACAAACTAATTATAGTGGAAGTAAAAAGGGAGATGAGAGATATACACACAATCAGTCTGGATTCATAGATGGTGTGATTTATGTGTGTGTGAGTGTACCGTCAAATCAGATCTGACTGGTACAGGAGGAGATTGTCCTTCCTTTTCCTCGGCAGAGCATCTGGTGGATTCGAACCATGTGCCTCTGGGATTGTAGTTGCAGCTCCTTGCCACTAGGCCACCAGAGCTCCCCAGATGGTGTGATTTACTTTTCAAAGAAAAGTAGTCAACTCTTCCAATATGGTGATATTTCAATTGAAGCCAAAATTGGGTTTATAATGACTAGTCTGATCATTTGTTAGGAATCTCATCATTTAAACTGTTTCCTTAAACATTTAATGTATTTCTTTTTACCTTGTGTTAAAAAGAACAAGCTCCATATGGTTATATCTGACCTTCATCAACTTCACAATGGGGAACTGTCCCTAGCAACAGTATCAATAACACAAAACCAATTCTCATGAGGTCAGACATATCCCCTATACCTCTTTCTACTCAATTCTATTTTGCTAGGTTCAAAACCTGATGCAGTAGCTCACAGACCACAAGGAACCATACCAGGGAAGCCAAAAAGTTACAATTCAGATTAATAACAGAAAAAAGTCAAGACAGCTCCTTAAATGTGTGCACAGATACCTCAGCCTCAAGCCTCAGCTTTAGGCTACTACTCCCAAGTTCTCAGTCCTGCCAACATTGGCTTCCCACCCCTGGTTGTTCAACAAAGTTCTCCATCCTGCCTAAATTGGCTCTCCCCCCAGCAAGGTTCCATCTCATGTCAGGTCTCCATGGCTGTTGCTTCTGAAGATGTAGCTGTAACAAGAATGGTGTCCTATATTCTCTTCTTTCTTCTTCAATGGCAGGGGGAAATCTGACTGTCTCTTGCTGTTAGGGTGCTCAATTCAATGGCAAGACTAGCCAATCCCCTTGCAGATTGTCGAGACTAGCCAATCTCATTGGTAGGTGGCCAATCCCCTGTTGAATAGCTAACATGCCCAATTCACATATTCCTGTCCATCCATGTAGCAAAATCAAACAATGGCTAGGAAAAGTTATACTGAAAAATGAACTTCACACCTTCTCAGGAGAACTATTTTTTTATTATTATTATTATTGTTTGTGTTTGTACCTTCAAATCAGATCTGACTGGTACAGGAGGAAATTGCCTTTCTCCAGCAGAGCATCTGATGGATTCAAACTGTGTACCTCAGGGATTGCAGTGCAGCTTATTGTCACTAGTCCACCAGAGCTCCCTCGGAGAACAATTTTGAATAGATTCTGATTTTTTTTTAAAACAATTTTACTGATAATGGACTTCTAGGAAATGCCAAGCTTTCTTTGACCACCTACCCTAATGTGCTTCATAACTAAAATATTTAAGAAATACTTATGACTAGTTTGCATCTCTTGCTATAAGTCTTGGAAATAATTTTGTTTCCCATTGGACTTCTATTCCTGTGTCACTATGACCACCCCTAGTTCCTTTTCAGTACCAGAAAGAATCTGGATGGGGTAACATTGGAAGTGGAGCCAACAGGCCAACATAGTTGCTCTGGTTCAAACATTATACTATAGAAACAACTATAGAACTATGATCATTATATAACCATTATAGCACAGGCCAGGCTGTAACTCTTCAATTCTAGAAATAGAATGTGGATAGTTAGACCATTTTTCCAGTCACTATCCATTTCTCAGAGGCCAGAAAAGCACAAAAAATCAGGTGAGATTGGACACAGCTGAGGATACTATGAGCATGTCACAACAGAATAGGAATTTTTGCAGTATTTCCAGCACTTAGTGTCTAACACATCAATAGGTGCTGAAGAAGTTACTGAATAAATAAGAGCCTAGCACTGTGAGAGATTGAGAATGACATCAATATTATGCAAATCTATTATAAAGAAGCTCCTTCTTCTTGTCTCTTTATTCTATTACCTCATGACATCATCCTAACAAAGCTAGAAAATGACAAAGAACCAATCCTCTAGCTCTGTGGCCTCAAAGGTTTAGCTGACAAATGGGGGGCCTGGAGTACCCAGCTTCACTCTACTGTTGGCCAAAGTCCTGATCCTCATAGACAAAGGGAAAGGCAGAAAGGAAATTGCTGAAGGATATCCATCACAACTGAAAAGTCAGTCAAAGGAAAATAGTTAAACAATAACATTTCTTTTCTGGGAAGTTGATTATCTATTCTTACACTCAAAGCTCACCTTTGGTAGTTTTCAGTGAGAAGCCATAGCTTTTCCCTTCCTTCACCAGGTAGCACAGCCGAGGCTGGGTCCACGTCTCTGTTCCGCCATTCTTCACCAGAGATGGCTCCTTATCATTCAAACGTGGCTCCTCACTTTGACCCAACTCTTTCAAGTCGACTTTGTTTTTAATGGCTTCCTCGTAGGATTTCCCATCAAGAACTAATAAAGTCACTGAACTCCCACTCTTTCTGATCATATCCACAACCTGTAAGGAAGGAAGACAAATACAACTTCAACCTTTATCAACTGCCAAAGGAAAATGCTTACCATCTGACCTCGGAGGTTCTGAGCTAACTCCAACACCCAAATAACTAGACAGTGCCCCAACTACCTCCCTAACCTTTTCAAGATCTAGCTACAGATTAGGCACTCCTAGAATCGAAATTGTGCCCAACTCCAGCCCAGAGGGCCCTCACAAGAAATAGTCCATTCTGAAGATGAATGCTGACTAGTTCCTTCTTAGGTCTATGACAAGATGGTGTGATGAAAACAAACACATTGGGAGTCATACATTGACCTCAAGGTCAGACCTTCCCAAATACTTACTCCCTGAGTGTATTAGTAAGTCGAACCGTTATTTCATGCATGAAATGATAAAGTCTTCCTCACAAGATTGTGGTAAGAATTTAAAATGATGAGAATGGGATTTCTTAACACAGTTCCTAGTATATAGAAAGCATGTAATGCATGATTAACATTGTTCAAACACCATTCAAGTTAAGAACAATTTCTACAGTTCATGGTTAACTGAAGTTCATTGAACAAAAGGTATAAAAATAAAGACATTCTGTCTTGCCAGCAAAAGCCATAAAAGAACTAAGCTCCATTGTCCCCAGAACCTACACTCAGCAGAGAAGATCTGGGGCTGATAAGATTCTGGAAGGAGAGCCCCAAACATCTCCTTTACCTGTGTATGTTCTTCCTTGTCCACAAAGATGCCATTGACCCTGAGAACTCTGTCTCCATCCTGGAGGCCAGCCTTCTCTGCTGGGCTTAGCCTCTCAACCAGTCGAACCAAGTGGCCATCAGTGTCCTTCTCAATTCGCAGGAAGAAGCCATAGCATTGCCCTTCTTGTTTGGACAGCTTGCACTCTCGGGGGTTGAAAGTGGAGGCCATTTCTGTGATGAAAAACACTGTGTAAATCCATGAGAAATGAAGTCAAATTGGAATGAGAACTCTGCCCTCAACATCCTGTAATCCTATTCTTTGAACTTCACAGCATCTACAATACTTGGATAGTAATGTTGGGGGTGCAGAAGGCTAATTTATATGTCTTGCTAATGACTTCAAATCAATTTCCTCAAGTATAATCCTTTATATTGAAATTTCTGGTCCATATATTTAGCAGAGTATTAGACGAAGAGGCTCAAATATCAATAGTTCCAACATTAAATTCCCTTTTTCCTCCTTAACCTAAAGATCAGGTATAAACATATTATCCAAAAACATTTAAGAAAAGCTAATTCTAATTCATGGAAACCCCATGTGTGTTGGAACAGAACTGAATGCCACAAGATTTTCAATGTCTGAAATCTTACAGAAGCTCAACAGGCCTTTCTCCCAGGGTACAAGTGGTTGGATTCAAATCCCCATATTAATAACCTTACCAGTTCATAGTCAAGTACAAACCATTTGTGCCACGCAAATATTTTAATACTTTTAAGTTTAAGTTCTGTCAAGTAAGTCTATCAGGTTCTGGAAATTGCGGATAAATCTGAGGACAAGAGAAACCCATCCATACATATCTTTCTTCAAATAGCAGAACCAAAACAAGACCCCACTTCCATCAAATTCAGTCTAATAGCAATCCTCTACCTGGCTTCTCACGAATTTTAATTGTAAATTTTATTGGCGGAGACTGCCAATATTTCTCCCTCAGAGTCGCTGGTAGACTCAAACCATCAACCTTTGGGTTAGCAACCAAATGCCTAATATGTTACATCAGAACAGAATTACACTTTTTTTACAATAACAGCAGATGTTATTCTAGGGAAGAATGGGGTCATATAACCAAGGGTCTCAGGAATAGGAAATAAAGATAGGAAGTAGTAAGAATGACTTCTTAGAGGACTGAGACCTGAAGGGTTAGTGGGAGTGAGATGAGGAAGGGAAGGACCAGGAAGACCTCAAACAATCCCGCATCAGTCATCAGAGTTGGCCAACAGCACTGGAGAAAAACAGAAAATGGTTTCCCAGGACCCTGCAGAGGAGTGATGGCCAGCAGGGAAAGGATTCCACGGCCAGGTGATGTTCTTTCTGCTGAAACAGCTCCTCTATCCACCTATCTGTCCCTCCAGTGGCCTCATTGCAGGAGCCAGATCCTGTACCACAGGAAGTGTCCAGAACAACTGTGAAAACCAATAGCCAGGCTGTGGCATCCACTTATCATTAGGGTGGAAACTCCTGCCAGTGCCCCAAATCCTCCTGGCTCAAACCTTTTTCTTTCATAGGATGACCAGAGTGGAGACAGAAAAATCTTATCACATTGATAAGAGGGAGAGGGCTGCAGAGCAGACAGTTAGATTGGCCTAATGGCAAGAAGCTGTGCTGAAGGCATGTGGTTCGAGGCCACCAGCTGCTCTGCGCGAGAAGGATGGGCAATCTCCTCTCGTGTGATTACTGTCCCTGAAAACCTGCCGGAGGGTCAGCTATGGGTCAGTTCCAACTAGACAATACACAACAATGACAACGAAGCTATCTGTAAGGTACATGCCCACATTCTCCTTGTTACGATTCCCCATGAAAAAAAAATCAAAGCACCAACCATCCACCATCCATCCATTCCTTCTTTCCTAGAGACCAACAAATGGCCATCCAGTGTGTGGGGGCTGGATGGTGGAGATAGGCAGCAAAGTGCACTAGACTCCCTAGAAGCCTCGCCATGGTGCTGGGAGATGGTAATCTCTGGCCTTGGTGCCCATGGAGACATCCAGTACTGACCCCTAACCCGGCAGAAGGCCTCCCACTGCTTGCCATTCCTACAGGCTCAGCAAAGTCTGGGAGTTGTGCCACCAGTGACATGAATGACTAAGCAAACAAAACAAACAAACAAAATAATAGTTTTTGAGTGACCTCTCAAAAGGTTGCAGGCCTGAGCCAGCCACAGAAGATCAAGGAAAAGGAAAAGGAAAACTGAAGCCATGCCTGCCACTCGTCATTGCCCAGGCCCGTGGGAGAGTTGAGGCACTCTCCCACATCAAGAGGCATGAGCAACCGCCAGGAAATGCACTTGGAAGAGAAAAGACAGCAGGTATATGGGAGAGAGTATTTGTGGGTCATGACAGACCATTGCTGAATACAGTGCTAGAAGATAAGCTATTTCTGTTGGAAGGCACTGATTTGAGATGGTTGAAATGACACAGAACAAGGCATCACTTTATTCTGTTCTTCACAGGGTCACTATCAGTTGGGGCCAACTGACAATGAATAACAGGGCATCATCAGAGCCAGGTTTCCGCACGTGCAGCCTCTGTTCACGTTCTGCTCGGACTCGCTGCTGTTTTCTTTCTGCAGTTTATGCAGCCTTCAGTTTTTTCCAGCTCAAATCCACATCTATGCCAAGCTCACCTCTAAAACTCCCAATCAGCTCTTACTTTACAGGACTAAAAAACTTGGCAACAAGGTAAAAGACATTTTCTCCAGTTAGGGATTATTAGAGTAATTACAAGGAAATTTCACCCAAATCCCACAAAATTTTAAGATATGCCCTTGCATGTAACCTAAAAGAATCTGCTTCACTTTGCATGTTCTGCTAAAAATTGTCCACCCACCTATGGTACCTGAACTAATGGTGAAATGGTTTCCAGCATCTTAGCAGCACGAGGGGCACCACAATAACAAGACAAACAGGAGGGCCGGCTTGGTCATCTACTGCTGAAAAGTGGCCGGTGAAAACCCTATGGTTACATGGAAATAATGCTCAAAATACTACTGGAAGACGAGCCTTGGAAATTGGAAGACACTCAAAATACACAGTGGCCACACAGCTCTGGAGCCCAAGAGCCATTGTGCTGGCCCATGCCCAGGCAATGTTTTACCCTGTCGTACATGAGGTTACCATGAGTCAGGGCTGACTCACTGACAGCTAACCACAATCAAAATTAAGGGCTTTAGATGTTATGTTTTAATGAAGCTGTCTTCTAAGGAACCACCTCGAAAATCCCAGTCTCCCACCCTGCAGCATCAGGCACGTGCTTACTCCCTTTCTCTGTGGGCTGAAGGTCCAGTGATACCTCCACACTCACAGGATGGTAGACTGGGGCTTGAAAGGGAGAGAAGGAAAGGTTCTCCCCCCAAATCTCAGAGGAGACCTGAAAATCCAACCCACAAAGGAAACACAAGGCTTAGCTTCATGGCAAATATCTCAAGTTGTCTTTTATTTGTTTGTGTTTTCAAAAACCCTGGGATTTGAGCTTGGGCTTTGAAGCCTCAGGCCACACAATGTCAGTTTCTTTTCATGTCTATAATTGAAACCCAGAGAATTGGAGTCCATTTTTACCAAGATGAAATACTAAAAAATATTACCGCACCAGTTAGTAAACAGCCATTGTTCTGAGCCCCAGCTGCCTCCCATCCCCACACCACCTTCCACTCACGCTGCAGTTCAAAGGGTAATTAATCCATCAGCTAGACAGCGGCCACACCAAACTGATTTTATAGCCTCAACTATGGAACAATGATATCTACAAGCCTGAGATTTACAGTTACAATGGATCCAGTTTGGTGACTCCAAACTCTTGTTTCCTTTACAATCTTGCAGAAAGGTACTTTTCAACCAAGAGTCAAGAGAGCTGGGCATTGGTCCCTCTCAAGTCCTGTTTCAAGTTAGTCCAAATCTTATTAAACTGGTCCCTAAAGCAAGCAGTCACTTCAATTTAGCAAGAATGTCAGCACTCATGGTAAGAAAGCCTGGACCCTAATTTATTTGACATAAATTAGGAAGAACCTCCGTACTTAAAGCTAGAAACCAAAACATCAAATCTAGCAGTGCCACCAAGTCATTTCTAATTCATGGCAACCCCAAATGTGTTATAGTACAACTGTGCTCCACAAGGTTTCCAAGGTTGTAATCCTTTGAAAGCGGATTGTCAGGCCATTCTTCTGGGCACTTATATCTGGGTGAGTTTGACCTGTCAACCTTTCAGTTCCAGTCTAGTGCCTAATAACCGTTTGTACCACTCAGCGACTCCATGTTCAAGGATGCTATCTTATTTCTTCATCCCCATTTTCTACTTTCTGAGAAAAATCCCCAAATCAGACCTCAATAGTAAACACTAAGTTGTGAAGAAGGCCTAAGAACTTTTACAATATCAGATTTCTATAATTATCAGAAGCTGATATCCAGTAAGTTGCCATCAGGATTTACTCCCCAGTCCCAACAGCTAAAACAAAGTGCTGGAAATCAAAGAAAGTGATAGTCAATTCTGATTTCTGGGAAAAAAAGAAACATCAATACTTGGCAGCAAAATTGCTTGTCTGTCGGAAAGAGAAGAAAGAGCTGGCTGGTAGACAGGAAAGACTCAGGGGCCAGCAAGATTTAGTTGTTTAATTGTTTTTATTATTAATCATACCTTTAGAACCCTCCTCTGTTCTTCCAAAAGAATATTGCTACTAGGAAAAAGAATAAACATGTCCATGGCCAAGAGGACACATTTTAGAAGTTAGGAAGGCATGATACTGACCATGAAGGAGAATAGGTGGAACCTCTGGTTGGGTCAGAAACTAAAGCAACTGGATTATTTTCTCCCAAGGCAGGGAAAAGCAACTTCTAGTGGAATCTAGGAAACTTCTCGAAGCCCAGAACAGGACAAGCCTTCTCCTCTCCCAGCAAAACCACTGACAATGCCAAGTCAGCATGCCTTCCCCCACCAGCTTTTTTTTTAAAGATTTTGGGTTTTCATTCCTTCATTGCTGCACCATTCTCTCTACCCTCCTCCCCAGTTTGTTCTTCTTCCCCCACCATCCGAATGTCTGTTTTAATTGTCCAATTGCCACAGTGCTTGTCAAAGTCAGTTCTGATTAATCTCCTTTGTCGGTGTGTCCTTTGCCATTCCCTATCACTCCTCCCTGAGAGACTTCACCCTGATTCATAAGGAAAAGGGGATGGCGTATTCTCT